TAGTTGTTTGGGTCATCCTTTTTTCCCTTCTTGAAGATTGGGACCTCATTGGCCCTCCTCCAATCTGCTGGAACTTCTCCCGTTCTCCAAGAACTCTCAAAGATGGTTGCCAATGGTTCCGAAATGACTTCCGCTAGTTCCTTCAATACTCTTGGGTGTAGTTGATCTGGCCCTGGGGACTTGAACTCATTAAGAGCGGCCAGGTATTCCTGGACGACTTCTTTCCCAATTTGGGGTTGGATGTCCTCAAATCCCTCATCCACTCCGTCTTGCTGAGGTTGAAGACCGAGGCAAAGAAGGTATTTAGTAGTTCTGCCTTTTCCCTATCCCCTGTCAGCATTGCCCCATCTTCTCCTCGAAGAGGCCCTATCGCCTCCTTGTTTTTCCTTTTTCTACTGACATAAGAAAAGAATCCCTTTTTATTGTTTTTAATGTCCCTGGCAAGCCTGAGCTCGTTTTGTGCTTTAGCCTTGCGGACCTTTTCCCTACAGGTGTTGGCTATTTGTTTGAATTCTTCTTTGGTGATTTCTCCCTTTTTCCACTTCTTGTGCATGTCTCTTTTGTGTCTTAGCACAGTTAGAAGTTCTTTGGACATCCATTCTGGCTTCTTTGCACTTGTCCTATTTTTTCTCTTTGTTGGCACGGTTTGCAATTGCGCCTTGAGTATTTCACTCTTGAGAAATTCCCATCCATCCGTAACTCCCTTGTCTTTTAGTATCTGTGTCCACGGAATGCTGCTCAGCGTTTCCTTCATTTTTTGGAAATCAGCTCTCCTAAAGTCCAAAATGCGGGTTTGACTTGTCTTAGTTTCGGCCTTCCTTTGTACCTCAAATTGCAGGAGCACATGGTCACTTGCCCCTAAGGATCCTACCACTTCAACCACATCGATCAGGTCCTCCACATTTGTTAGGATGAGATCAAGAGTAGCCAATCCCCTTGTTGCCTCTTCTACCTTCTGGACCATGAAATTGTCTGCAAGGCAAGCGAGGAATTTGTTGGACCTTGTACTCTTGGCCGCGTTTGTTTTCCAGCAAATATCGGGATAGTTGAAATCGCCCATGACTACTACATCTCTTCTCTGTGCCTGTTTGGTCAACTGTTGGCAGAAGACTTCATCAAGTTCTTCCTCCTGGCTTGGGGGTCTGTAGTAGACGCCTACAACGACATCTTTTTGAGTCCCAGTTCCCTTGATTCTTATCCAGATGATTTCAAGCTGGTTTCCCAGATTGCTGTCTTGAATCTCTTCTGCAGCATAAGAGTTTTTGACATATAAGGCTACTCCGCCTCCTCTCCCCTTTGTTCGGTTTCTGTGAAAGAGGTTATACCCCTCGATATCTACATTCCAGCGATAGGAGTCATCCCACCAGGTTTCAGTGATCCCTATGATATCATATTTGTGGTGTTGTGCTAAAAGTTGGAGTTCGTCTTATTTATTTCCCATGCTCTGTGCATTAGTGTAAAGACATGTGAGCCCCTGAGATCTTCCCTTGAGCTGTTTAATTGGGATTATTGTGCTTTTGGTACTTGGTCCTTGTTGTGTTTGTGCAGCCCTCCGTTTAGCCTTCTGGCGATTCCCAGACATTATGGGTAAAGTAGTGTTCGCAAGGCTGTTGTCCCCCTCCCCCGGTGGACCTAGTTTAAAGTGCGTCTAATGAGGTTTGCGAGTCTGTGAGCAAAAAGGTGTTTTCCTACTTGTGTGAGATGCACCCCATCCCTTGCCAGTAGGCCATCCTCCTGGAAAAGCAGGCCATGGTCGAGGAAGCCAAAGCGTTCCTCCTGACACCATTTTCTAAGCCAGTCATTGACCTGTACTATTTTTCTGGCTCTTTGTGGGTCCGTGTCTTACAACAGGGAGGAGGGATGAAAAGACCACCTGTACATTACATTCTTTTAGCTTTGCTCCTAGAAGCTCGAAAATCATTTGTGATCTTTTGAAACGTATGCCTTGCAGTATCATTGGTTCCTACATGAATCAACATGAGGGGAGGACGGTGATAGGGCTTGAGGAGCCTGGTGAGCCTCTGAGTGATATGGTGTATTTTTGCCCCCGGTAGGCAGCATATTTCTCGAGCCATCCCATCTGGTCTGGAAATGACAGCTTCCGTTCCTCTAAGGAGGGAGTCGCCTACTACCAAGACCTGTTTACTTTCGGGAATGACAGGGCCCCTTTTGTGCAATGTAGTGTGTAGGTCTCCAGAAAAGTGATCCTGTTGGTGTGAATTGTGTAGGTGAAAAGTGTTGTCCTCCTCCTCGACATCCCCGGTGCATTCGTCAAGGACAATCCATTGAGATTCGTCCAAGAGCCTATGGTTCTCCTGTATGTGTTCCTGTTGCTCCTGGTCTATGGTTGGGGATGGTACACCTGCACGATTGCGCAAGTGTGAATGTTGTGAAGTGTTGTCCCAGTCAGGGCTATCCCCTGCACACTGATCAAGGATGAGCCACTGATCAGTATCTAAGCCATTCTGGTCTTCCCCAATATGTTGTGTTTCTTGGTCAGGTGATAGTGACTAATGCTTCCTCTTCATCCTGGAAAGAAGTGACGAGCGGAGTGCCGCAGGGTTCCGTCCTGGGCCCGGTCCTGTTCAACATCTTTATTAATGACTTAGATGAAGGGCTAGAAGGCATGATCATCAAGGTTGCAGACTACACCAAATTGGGAGGGAGAGCCAATACTCCAGAGAACAGGAGCAGGATTCAAAATGATCTTGACAGATTAGAGAGATGGGCCAAAACTAACAAAATGAAGTTCAATTGGGACAAATGCAAGATACTCCACTTAGGCAGAAAAAACGAAATGCAAAGATACAGAATGGGGGACAATGCCTGGCTCGAGAGCAGTACGTGTGAAAAAGATCTTGGAGTCGTCGTGGACAACAAGTTAAACATGAGCCAACAATGTCATGTGGCGGCAAAAAGAGCCATTGGGATCTTGGCCTGCATCAATAGGAGCATAGTGTCTAGATCTAGAGAAGTAATGCTACCCCTCTATTCTGCCTTGGTTAGACCACACCTGGAGTATTGTATCCAATTCTGGGCACCGCAATTCAAGAGAGATATTGACAAGCTGGAATGTGTCCAGAGGAGGGCGACTACAATGATCAAGGATCTGGAGAACAAGCCCTATGAGGAGCAGCTTAAATAGCTGGGCATATTTAGCCTGAAGAAGAGACGGCTGAGAGGAGACATGATAGCCATGTATAAATATGTGAGAGGAAGTCACAGGGAGGAGGGAGCAAGCTTGTTTTCTGCTTCCCTGGAGACTAGGACACGGAACAATGGCTTCAAACTACAAGAAAGGAGATTCCATCTGAACATGAGGAAGAAATTCCTGTGAGAGCTGTTCAGCAGTGAAATTCTCTGCCTCGGAGTGTGGTGGAGGCTCCTTCTTTGGAAGCTTTTAAACAGAGGCTGGATGGCCATCTGTCAGGGGTGATTTGAATGCAATATTCCTGCTTCCTGGCAGGGGGTTGGACTGGATGGCATGCCTCAGGAGGAGGAGGAGATGTTTCGGCGAATCAGAGCCCAAGAAAACAGTGATGTTTCCAGGCTATAGGTCTCTGCTTTTATTTATTTGTCGTGTCAGGGCAACCAGTCAATTGTATTACATTTCTAACAGAACAAAACAAGCAAACAGATAGAATACAAAATTTGTGAGTTTGGTAGTTGATTAAATGTCCTTTGACCAGTATCTGGCCACTTGGAGTGCTTCTGGTGTTGCTGCAAGAAGGTCCTCCATTGTGCATGTGGCAGGGCTCAGGTTGCATTGCAGCAGGTGGTCAGTGGTTTGCTCTTCTCCACACTCGCATGTCGTGGATTCCACTTTGTAGCCCCATTTCTTAAGGTTGGCTCTGCATCTCGTGGTGCCAGAGCGCAGTCTGTTCAGCGCCTTCCAAGTCACCCAGTCTTCTGTGTGCCCAGGGGGGGGGGGTCTCTCATTTGGTATCAGCCATTGGTTGATTGTATTCAACCAATTGTATTGTGAGGTTCTGAGTTTGAGCCTGCCACTTTTGGACTCTCGCTTGCTGAGGTGTTCCAGCTAGTGTCTCTGTAGATCTTAGAAAACTATTTCTTGATTTAAGTCGTTGGCGTGCTGGCTGATACCCAAACAGGGGATGAGCTGGAGATGTCTCTGCCCTGGTCCTTTCACTGTTGACGGCTACTTCCCGGCGGATGTCAGGTGGTACAATACCGGCTAAGCAGTGTAATTTCTCCAGTGGTGTAGGGTGCAGACACCTTGTGATAATGCGGCATATCTCATTAAGAACCACATCTACTGTTTTAGTGTGGTGAGATGTGTTCCATGCTGGGCATGCGTACTCAGCAGCAGAGTAGCATAGCGCAAGGGCAGATGTCTTCACTGTATCTGGTTGTGACCCCCAGGTTGTGCCAGTCAGTCTCCTCAGCTGATCCAGACGAAAACGTCTCAGAATCAGCGGTATCTTAAGCCCAGCCTTCAACCTCAGGGCTCCTCTGCAGATCCAGAGGAAGGGAAAGAGGGCATGCTTTTAAGGATATTTTATTTATAGAAAGAAAGAAAAATTCCTAAAAATAGGGGATAACCCAAATGTTATAAAACTTGGTGGACTAAGAGTGGCCGGTGTGCTCTCCATGTGTGGTGATTTTCACCCCTCTAGTCCTGAAACTGAGAGGAAGGGGAACCTGGGAAGGCTGTGCATGTTGGCCAATGGTCCAAAAATTTTGTTCGTTCTGACGAAAGAATAAAACAACTCATTCAGGAAGGCCCCATTTTCGGAGGCAGCGCTCATAAATGAAACCTGGGCCATAAGAATGAAACAAATCAAAACAGATGACAATTCTTTACAAATGCACAAGACTAGTATATACCTGTGTTGTGATTTTGCTGTATGTGTGACATGTTCATGTAAGAGAGATGGACACACCGTGGTACAAATGTTAAATTGTTTTCCACTCAGGACTGTCTATGAGATTATGTCCATAGTCTAACATGCCAGTCTTTCATCTTCTTTCCTTACCAGGCCAAAAGGAAGCTGGACTTGGAAGGGACGGGCCAGCACTGCATCCCGGAATTCCGAACCCCAAAAGGCAAAGGAAGGACGCTCCCACCCATCCCTAGTCCCAAAAGTAAGGGGAACAAGAAGCCTGGGACAGGAGAGTGCTTTGTTTGTATTTTTGCATGCATTTCCCCAGAAATTAGATGTTATATGAGTCTACACTGCCATATAATCCAATGCAAAGCAGATAATCTGGATTTTATATGGCAGTGTAGATGGGGCCCTAGCCCATATATTTACAAACAAAAAACTCCTGGGATAGGAAATACCTGGACAAATGTATTGAAATTCCGCCTTCAGTCTGGAAATATCCCATAATTCAAGAAGTGTCCACTTTGGTTAATCTGCAGAACATTAGAATTCTGATTGCAGGCCCCAGACTTGGACAATGCAAGGTTCTTTTTAAATTGATTGTTTTACTCCAGTGCATAAACATTGAAAAACGTGGCTTTCGAATTGTATTGTGATGCTTTTCATGTTAGCCACTTTGAGGCCCCTTCTTACACTGCCAGATAATCCAGGTTATCAAAGCAGAAAATCCACATTTTCTGCTTTGAACTGGATTATCTTAGTCTACACTGTCATATAATCCAGTTCAAAGCAGATAATGTGGGTGTTATACAGCTGTGTAGAAAGGGCCATATCTGATTGTTTTGGTGTCGCTTGTTTTAATTCTGTTTTGATATTTGTATGTATATTTTAAATTGGATACTAATGGTTTTATGTCAAGCCATTTTGAGTCCCCTTTGAGGAGATAAAGCAGGGTATAAATAATAATAATAATAATAATAATAATAATAATAATAATAATAATAATTTATTTGCTTTTTCTGAAGGATAGCTGTGGAATCATAAATGGGTCTATTTTTTCCATAATTCTGTGCAAAATAAGTCTCTCCAGAACTTTGTAAAGATTACAGGAGCTGTCTTCATAGACATGTCAGCTGCTTATTATACTGTAAATCATCGTCTTCTCCTGAGAAAAATGTATAATATCACAAAGGACTACCACCTCGCTCGCTTCATAGAAATCTGCTACAAAACAGGAGCTTTTTTGTTGAATTCCAGGGCCAGAGAAGCAGATGGCGAAAACAGAAGAACAGCCTGCCTCAGGGGAGCGTGCTAGCTCCATTAATGTTTAACATTTACACAAATGATCAGCCACTGCCAGAAAGGACAGAAAGCTTCATCTATGCTGACAATCATGCCATCACCGCTCAAGCAGGGAGCTTTGAAATGGTTGAACAGAAGCTCTCAAAAGCTTTAGGTGCTCTTACTGTCTATTAAAGGAAAAACCAGTGGATTCCTGATCTATCTAAAACACAAACGTGTGGTTTTCACATTATTATTATTATTATTATTATTATTATTAACTTTATTTGTACCCCGTTAGCATCTCCCAAAGGACTCGATGCGGCTTACAAAGGCCAAGGCCTCAAAACACAACATAACAATACACAACCTAAAGCAAATTAAAAACAGTTAAAGCAATATTAAACAACAAGCAATAAAACAATACACCAAGACACAATAAAACTGGGCCGGGCCAGAGTAATGGGTACAGATTAAAAGTGCTGACGTGACAGGTGGTATGTAAGGATTATGGGGTAAGTGCAGTGTGCCAGCAATCTTAATTTCTAATAAAGTGCTCCTGGGACTTGTTGGAGGATTCCTATTCTGGAAAGGCACATCGGAACAGTCAGGTCTTCAAGTTCTTTCTAAAGACTGCCAACGTAGGGGCCTGTCTAAGATCTTTGGGGAGGGTGTTCCAGAGTCGGGGGGCCACCACAGAAAAGGCCCTGTCTTGCGTCCCCACCAGACGCGCCTGCGATGCAGGCGGAATCGCAAGCAGGGCCTCACCGGATGAACAGACCTTAAGAACAGACAAGCACCTAGAACTCTGGGATGACGTGGGAAGGAATCCCACTGGAGCATTGCAGCACATCCAGACACCTGGGAGTCACTCTGGACCATGCTCTGACTTACAAGAAGAACTGCTTGACTATCATGCAAAAATATCATACGAAAGCTGACTGTCACAACCTGGGGAGCACATCCAGACACAGTGAAGACATCTGCCCTTGCGCTTGGCTACTCTGCTGCTGAGTACGCATACTACTGAGTACGCAAACCACAGAGCTATTACAATGCAAATCTGGGGAGCTCACCCTGCTCCCCAGATCTGAACCACCAACCTTCAGTTCTACAGTCTAGCTGGCGCATGAGTTTAACCCTTGTTATTTCGGGGAGGTAATAAAATGTGCCCATTTGGAAATGCTGGTGATTTGATTGGGAGGTCACAGACAACAAAGCTCCTTGGCATGGAAGACGGAGCGACAGCACCTCCCAGTGGTCAGAGTCAAGCACAGCCTCAAGATGCCATAGATGGGGAAAAAGATGGGAAAGCCTTTAGCAACAATGCCTCCACTAGAGACACTTCAAGTGGCCAGCTTCTGGTCAAAGGACATTTAGTAAACTTTGTGTTTTTAAATACATCACAACTGTTAAAAATTCGTTTTGACTGGGGTGAGTCCAAGATGGCTCTAAAAATGATTCTAGAGTAGATAGAGATTATTTTGGGGAATTTTTGGAACAAAAAAAAGTGACCCCTCGAGCCTTGTTCACGAAGGTTTTCTAATCTATAGCCTTCCCAACTCTGATAAGTCATGAAGGAATCAGGTGAAAATGACTCTGAACGTGGACAGAGTTCCTGCTCTATGGGAGGCAGGGTTTGAAAGATGCGATGATCGTTTTCTTGCTGTAGATTCAACACTGAATTCTGACCCATCTTTGTCGGAGAATTAACCTTCTTTATTTTTTGCTCCTTCCCTAGTGGTATATCTACCTGAAGAATTACTGTATTTACTTGATTGTAATGCTCATCTTTTTTGACTACACTGCCATCCCAAAATTAGGGTGTGCATTAAATTTGCGTAGTATCGTAAATACTTTTTTGTGTTTCAGGATTTTGAAAATTGAGGTGTGCATTAGATTCGATTGCATATTAGCCTCGAGTAAACGTGGTAATACAGATTGATGCCATTTGAATAACCAGGGCTCAATACTTTGGAATCCTGAGAGTTGTAGTTTTGCAAGATCTTTAGCCTTCTCTACCTGATAGTACTTAGCCTTACTAAATTACAGCAATGTTTGCATCCTTATGCTTTCAAGGATCTTTGGACTCCACCATAGTATGACCGTGTGTACTGTGAAGACTCAACTCGTTTTGTATTATTATTATATATTTCTTTGTACATAACATCACAGCACAGCACACATGCCCATGAGGTCCAAGTGTTTGGGGTTCGTCTCTGAATATCAGACTCTCCCCAAGGGCTTAGGATATTAGAGGTATTATTATTATTAGAGATATATGTTATTGTTGTTATTGTTATTATGTACATAATAACACAGCATACATGCACATTAGGTCCATGTCTCGGATTCATAGAATCATAGAGTTGGAAGAGACCTCATGGGCCATCCAGTCCAACCCCCTGCCAAGAAGCAGGAATATTGTATTCAAAGCACCCCTGACAGATGGCCATCTAGCCTCTAAAAGCTTCCAAAGAAGGAGCCCCCACCACACTCTGGGGCAGAGAATTCCACTGCTGAATGGCTCTCACAGTCAGGAAGTTATTCCTAATGTTCAGATGGAATATCCTTTCTTGTAGTTTGAAGCCATTGTTCCGCGTCCTAGTCTCCAGGGAAGCAGAAAACAAGCTTGCTCCCTCCTCCCTATGACTTCCTCTCACATATTTATACATGGCTATCATGTCTCCTCTCAGCCTTCTCTTCTTCAGGCTAAACATGCCCAGCTCTTTAAGCCGCTCCTCATAGGGCTTGTTCTCCAGACCGCTGATCATTTTAGCTGCCCTCCTCTGGACACATTCCAGCTTGTCAATATCTCTCTCAACTGGACACAATATTCCAGGTGTGGTTTAACCAAGGCAGAGTAGAGGGGTAGCATGACTTCCCTGGACCTAGACACTATGCTCCTATTGATGCAGGCCAAAATCCCATTGTTTTGTTTCGTTTTGTTTTTGCCGCCACATCACATTGTTGGCTCATGTTTAACTTGTTGTCCACAAGGACCCCAAGATCCTTTTCACACGTACTGCTCTTAAGCCAGGCATCCCCCATTCTGTATTTTTGCATTTCATTTTTTCTGCCTAAGTGGAGTATCTTGCATTTTTCACTGTTGAATTTCATTTTGTTAGCTTTGGCCCATCTCTCTAATCTGTCAAGATCATTTTGAATCCTGCTCTTGCCCTCTGGAGTATTGGCTATCCCTCCCAATTTGGTGTCGTCTGCAAACTTGATGATCATGCCTTCTAACCCTTCATCTAAGTCATTAATAAAGATGTTGAACAGGACCGGGCCCAGGATGGAACCCTGCGGCACTCTGCTCATCACTTCTTTCCAGAGTGAAGAAGCACTGGTGAGCACCCTCTGGGTTCGTCCACTTAACCAATTACAGATCCACCTAATCGTAGTTTAGCCTAGCCCACATTTGACTAGTTTGTTTGCCAGAACCTTACTGAAATCCAGGTACGATACGCCTCTGTGTATCGGACTCTTCCCAAGGGCCGGGAATTTTAGAGATATTATTATTATTATTATTATTAGATATATATTGTTGTTATTGTTATTATGTACATAACCCTACAGCACATTAGGCCCAGTGACGGATCTGTCTTTGTATATCAGGCTCTTCCCAATGGCTGAGAATATTAGAGGCATTTTCGCAGAATGTGCACAGTTCTGAGAAGTTCTGCCTTCCTTCTGCAGCATGTGGATTGATGTTCTGTCTAAACTAAGACTCTTCCAGTGCTTTTTGAGGTTTCTTGGGATGCCTCCAAGGGCGCCCACCACTTTTGGTACCACTGTTGTTCTCTTTTGTCATAGTCTTCTCCTTTCCATTTGTAAGTCCTTGTATTTCATGCTCTTTTCCAGCTCTTTGTCCTCTACGCTACTGTCTCCTGGTACTGCAACATCTATAATAATCTGGTGTGTTATGTGGCAGGTGGTTATCTGTTTAGAGTCTCAAATCTGAGAGTATTTTTGTTCCTTTGTTTTCTATGGACTTTTCTGGCTTGTGCTTACATCAGGTTCCCCTGTAGGGGAGACCATACTTCTTGCACAGGTTCCAGGGCACCATTGCTGCCAGCCTGTTGAGATGTTCCATGTAGTCAGCCTGGGCTATTTTCTTACAGCTGCCAAAGAGGTACTCCATGTCTCGCCCCTCTCTTTGCATACATGCAAAAGTCCTTGTAGGGCTTTCCCATTCTTGGGTTGTTGTAGTTTTTTTCGGGCCATGAAAGCCTTCGACAATACATTTTCCATTCTTGTTTTCATTGCATTTTTCACAAGGCTTTTTCTTGTGCAGCAAAAACCAGGCCTTCCGTTTCTGTTTTTAGTGTTCTGTCTTGCAGGAGCCTGATTTGCCTTATTTTACAGTTGCTTGAGGTTGCTCCCTCTTGCATTTTCTCCCAGGGCCGCTGCTGCTTTGCGAGAGCCCTGAATGTTAATAGTATCAGAGTCTTCAAAGCCAGTCTGCAGGCCTCCTTTGCAGCTATTGGTTCAGAAACGTTTTTTTTTGGGTCTAGGGACCGCCTTTTCTCCCAGGGAAGAGATCTCCATTTTGGAATCTCCCCTGCCTTTTCAGTTTAGAGGAAAGACTTCAGATGTGCTGATGGTTAGGCAGGTAGCTCTGGGAAAACCATTGCAAAAACTATACATTATATATTGTGTATTGTATGTTAAGCTATACATTATATATTCTGGTTGCTTCTGGAGTGAGAGAATCAGCCGTCTACGAAGACGTTGCCCAGGGGACGCCCGGATATCTTGCCATCCTGCAAGGAGGCTTCTCACATGTCCCATTATATATTGAGTGTGTTAAGCTATACATTATATATTGTGTATTGTATATTAAGCTATATTTAATATAGATAGTATATTGTGTATTGAGCTATATAGAGAAATTATAGATAGATTAATAGAAAAGCTATTGAGAAAGTATTGAGTATTGACTTTATTGAGAAAGAACTATTGAGTTAGATAGATAGTATTGAGCATTTGCCTCCAAAGCTAACTTTGAGCAATAGATAGGGGAAAAAAACTGCTTTTTTCTGACCATAGGAGTTCAGGGTTAGGGTAAGGGATTCCAGAATTCCTTTTACTTTTTGGAGGAAGGGGAAATTCATCTCTATGCTTTACCAATTGACTGTTTGTAACTTTGATGAACTGTGCCAAGTCTGCAAGGACTTTGTGTAAATAAATATCCTTTTTTATGTTTAAAACCAGTAATAGTCTCAGTTGCTGAGTATCTCAAGCTTCTCAAGAAAGACACCCGCAGTTCGCTCAGACATAGAGAGAAGCACGTCGCAGTTTTATTTTTTATAGCGTCTGGGCAGACAGCACATTTAGGGTTCCCCTTCTAAGCTGCTCCCATGCTTCCTTTCTGTCGACCTTCCATTCCATGTCTTTAAATCCTGCCCAAGGATGAGGTTTGCTTGGCAACTGCTTTTTTTGTGTCTTAAAAAGACTCTATTGAGCTCTGTAGTCTTCTTCTGATTCTTTGGCATTCAGCATCTCAGCCTTATGGACTTCTTTCAGGGTTGGCTCTTGAATGTCTTCTTTCAGGCCCCTTTTCTCTTCCTCAACTCATTGCTTGGCTTGGAGCAGCCCTCTTCCTCCTTCAGACCTTGTTAAGTAGAGTTTGCCTATGTCACTTCCTGGGTGTAGTGCTCAGTTAATGGTCATCACTTTTTGTGTATTATTGTTATTGTTATTGTTATTTTTATGTTTCTTTATATCCCGCTTTTTTTCTCCATACGGAGACTCACAAGTAGCTCACAACTAAAAGCATTGCAATACAACTTAAAATATACTAAAACAATATTAAACATCAGTATTAAACATTTGCTTTTCAGCCCCCAAATCCCCCGGGGAGAAGACGCGGTATGACACCTCGCTCGGCCTCTTAACCAAGAAGTTCATTCACCTGCTCAGTGAGTCCGAGGATGGAGTGCTGGATCTGAACCGGGCTGCGGAGGTGCTGGATGTCCAGAAGCGGCGCATCTACGACATCACCAACGTCCTGGAGGGGATCCAGCTCATTCGCAAGAAGTCCAAGAACAACATTCAGTGGATGTAGGTATAGCGGGGACCTTGGAGCCAGCATGCCAGCAAAGTGTGCAGAGGAAATGCTTTGAGAGAGCAAGATTCTAGTAGGTTTCAAAAGCAGCTTTGAAAAAGGTATTTTTTAACAGTGAAAACGCATGAGACAAAGGCAAGTTGTGTGTACATGTGTAAACAATTGTGCATGCCGCAAGCTCAAGCAGTATGTATTGAGGTATTACCTTAATGACCACCTCTCTCTCCCAAGATCTGCTTCATAGTGCTTCATTGCCACAATGCCAGAACAGAGTAGTGCTACTGACTATCCTGCACTGTGCTGATAGGACTTTCTGTACAATTGGTTCCACAATAGGAAAATGCTAGCCAAATGTTGGGCACCTTACTCTTCTTTTGATTATTTTGCTTTCAGCATTTCAGCCTTATGGGCTTCTTTCAGTGATGGCTCTTGGCTAGTTCTTGGGTGTCTTCTTTCAGGCTCCTTTGGGTCCCATTTGGCTGGAATATAAGCTGACCCGAATATAAGCCGAGCCACCTAATTTTACCATAAAAACTGGGAAAACTTATTGACTTGAGTATAAGCCGAGGGTGGGAAATGCAGCAGCTATGAGTAAATTTTTAAAAAATAGATATCAATAAAATTAAACCATTATTCTATCAATGTAAATGTGCTTATGTATCCTTTCAATAATAATATAGAGAGTAAACAAATAAAATGTAATAACAATGATAGCAAAAAATAATAAATAATAATAGCAATAATAATAGAGTAAAATAATAAATGTAATAATAATAATAATATAATAATAATAATAATAATACATCCATGAGAATCTCATCAATGCAGCCATATTCACTGGCTCTGTCAGCAGTTAACTCGTTATATTTGCTAGAGGAATTATTTAGATGCTTTACCTAAAAAATCATACCTGCGATAGAAAGAAGCAAGGAAACATAATAGATGATAACTGCTCCTTACAGAGAGAGGTCAACCCTCCTGTTCAAGGAGCTCCATTGGCTGCCGTTCATCTTCCGGGCTCAATTCAAGGTGCAGGTGCTTACCTACAAAGCCCTAAACAGTTTGGGACCCACCTACCTGTGTGACCGCATCTCCGTATACAAACCCACGCAATCTCTTCGTTCATCTGGTGAGGCCCTGCTCACGATCCCACCGGCATTGCAAGTGCGATTGGTGGGAACGAGGGACAGGGCCTTCTCGGTGGTGGCCCCACGACTCTGGGACTCCCTCCCCAACACTGGCAGTCTTCAGAAGGAGCTTGAAAACATGGATGTTCCAGTGTGCCTTCCCAGATTAAGGAATCCCAAGCAATGTCCCTAATGCACTTTATGAGAGAGTTAGAATTGTCTGCACACCCTTTTATTTCCAAAATATTCATCCTACCTCACCTGGACATGCCCAGCATTTTTAGAATTTTAATCATTACATTTGGCCCTGCCACAGGTTTTTAATAGTGTTGTGTTTTTGTTAATGGTCTGCTTTGTTACGAGTGATTTGTTTTTGCATTGTATTGTTGTTGTGTTTTTGCTAATGATGTACTTTGGGCTCGGCCTCTTGTAAGCCGCACCGAGTCCTGCGGGAGATGGTAGCAAGGTACAAATAAAGGATTATTATTATTATTATTATTATTATTATTATTATTATCATTACCCCATGACTGGTTTTGAATTCCATATCAACTGAACATATCATAAATATTAAAAATTAACTAGGTTTTTTTTTGTTACAAAAATATGAGTCAAGCACTGAAAACGTTAAATGGATGCAGTTACTCAAAGAAGATGTGGTGCAATATAAGCAGGTGTACTTGTTGCTTAGTAACGCCTCAGTCTGAGAGAGCTCTCAGTGTGAGAGAACACCACGGAGTGTGAGGTAGGCCTCGGTATGAAAAGGCCTTGTGTGTGAAGCTTCAGTGTGAAGGTTGAACTTTATTTGTGTTAAAGAAACCTCATTCTTGTAAATAGTGCAACCATATCATTTTACTACAAAAAAAAACCTAAGGAAGAGATAAGATTGTTCTGTGTGTGTGTGTGGTTTTTTTTTTACCACTTTTGGCTACTGCTGCTGTGTCATGCTGCTGATAAGTTACTCTGCCGTACTTTTATGAGGAGATCCCTTTGTTAATAAGCCCACTTGCCCAACAGAACACACATCTAGCAACTTGTATATGCCAGCATACACCCACTAAAAAGTTGAAAAGTGGAAGCTGCCCATCTGTAGACACCATTTCCATTTCGCATCTTGAATGAAAACAGAACAGAAGGCCTCTCCTCCACTCTAGCCAGAACAATCCAACTGGGTCGCTCTGCCAGAGGAGGAGAGGAAGATGCACGTGGGGCGAGGGAGGAGGTAAGAAAGGCGCATGTAGGGTGAAGGATATGGAGGGAAGGGTGCACGCAGGGAGGGAGGAGGAGAGAAAGGAGAGTGGTTTACTGTGCGGAGAGGTGAGGCTCCTGGCGCGGAGGCGTAGGGCTGAAAGAAGCCCTTATTTCAGCCCCATGCCTTCTCACCAGGACCCTCACACGAGTGCCAGCTCACAGCAGCCGTTCCCAATAACGACACAGGACTCCGATCCGTAATCAATTAGAAACCTTTACTGCTGAATGTTCAGACACAAAGCCGCTGGTCATCTCTTTTATACCCTCCCCCACATTTGAAAACCTTTTTCCCGCCAAGCTGAAAGTCCCGCACAACGCTCCCGCCAAATGCCAACTGCTTTCCCCCGAGGTCACCAGCTGCACAGTCCTTATCAGAGTCCTAGGTCAGGACCCTGGTTTTTAGCGCCAAAATCAAAGGCCTGGAAACCGGTTCCTGACACACGAGTATAAGCCAAGGGGGGCTTTTTCAGCCTAAAAAGGAGATTGAAAAACTCTGCTTATAGTCGAGTATATACAGTAAATAAATATAATAATAACATGATAATCCTTGTATTTAAGCATGAGGGTTCCTCACACTTATGCAATTTAGAATACTGTCCCCCAAACTAATGATCTCTGGGTGTTGGGGGGTAATTTCCAAAAAAGTAAAATAAAGAAAACATTTCTAAAGTAAAGCCTCAACAACTGCAACAGCAGAACTTCACCAAATCAGGCTAGATCTACACTGCCATATAATCCAGTATCTGATCCCAGATTATCTGCTTTGAACTGGATTACATGAGTCTGCACTCACGCCCCTCCAAATCTTTGCTTCTATCGCTGATATATCCTTTTACTGAAAGATATATCACTTCCTTAGCTGTTTATTATTTATTTACAGCTTTTATATTCCGCCCTTCTCACCCCGCAGGGGACTCAGCGGATTACAGTGTACACATATATGGCAAACATTCAATGCAAATTTTTGACATACAAACCTATAAAGACATACACAGAGGCTATTTAACTTTTTCTGGCCGCCAGGGGAGCTGTCGCTTTCATCGTCCATCTGCGACACTGATGAAGCACTTCCGCATTCCCCGCATGCTTCCCCGCTGGAATGCTTTGCTGGAGTCTTCTTTATGGCTTCATAAATCAGTTAATTTAGCCTCCCCACACTTTAAGGTGGTACCTTATTTTCCTACTTGACAGATGCAACTGTCTTTCGGGTTGCAAAGGTCGACAAAAGGCTACACATAATTGGTTGGAAACCCACTCCAACCCGGGCTGGCTTCAAACTCATGACCTTTTTGGTCAGAGTGATCTTAATGCAGCTGACACTCAGTCAGCTGCGCCACAATCCCGGTGCATTGCAGTATATATTTTGGCTATGTTCTGTAGTATAGGATGTCATTTCAACACATTTGTTTTGATCTATTGCTGTTTGCCTCCTTTGTTAGTTGTCCTTCCCCAGGCATACACACTCACAAAATCAATTTCCTTGCGCTCTACACGTGATCCAGGGGCATTTCTCCAAATGAATAATGCCTGGGTTCTGAAACTCAAAAGCTGGTTCTGCTTTCAATCAATGCCAATGCATGTCTGTGTCAATCTAGTCTCTTGTTAACTTGCTGAATTTGTTTCCTAGGGGGACGGGGATCTTTCAGGACTCCTCCGTGACAACGCAGCAGCAGTCGTTGCGGAAAGAGCTGACAGAGGTCTCCAGGATCGAGAGGATGTTGGACAAGCTCATTCATGAGTGCACGCTTCAGCTAAAGCATCTAACAGATGATGGAACAAATCAGAGATATCCTTTCTGAGGTTCAGGATGGGAAGGGAAAGTTGGATGGGAGGCCTGGAACAAATGTCTTGATCCAGAACAGGCGTGGGCCAACCTTGGCCATCCCTCCAGGTGTTTGGGACTCCGACTCACACAATTCCTAACAGCCGCTTTGAGTTTCCTTTGGGAGAGTTAAAGCAGGGTATAAACAAATATAATATTTGTATATTTTCTGTTGTATGCTAATACATTTATGTTAAGCCACATTGCGTCTCCTTCAGGAGAGGTAAAGCAGAGTATGAATAGATATAATAATAATAATAATAATAATAATAATAATAATAATAATAATATATTTTAAATTGTATGCTAATGCCTTTATGTTAAGCCGCTTTGAGTCTCCTTTGGGAGAGATTAAGAGGGGTATAAATAAATATAATAATAATAATATTCGTATATTTTAAACTGTATGCTAATGCTTTTTGTTTAAGCTGCTTTGAGCCTCCTTTGGGAGAGATAAAGCAGAGTATACATCAAAATGATAATAATAATAATAATAATAATAATCACAATCTATCAATTGCAAAAAGGCCACCTTACTTGGATCTGTGCGCATCATTCGAAAATACATCATACAGTCCTAGACGCTTGGGAAGTGTCTGACTTGTGATTTTGTGATACGAAATCCAGCATAGAGATCTCGTTTGATGTGACATACTGTGCTTTTGTGTCAATAATAATAATAATATAATTGTCAATGATGCAATCCCAGGTGACAGCAGAATTGGCGGGAACCAACTGGAAAGGCTTACACCAGGGGTCCTCAAACTTTTTAAACAGAGGGCCAGGTCACAGACCCTCAAACTGTTGGAGGGCCGGATTATAATTTGAAAAACATGAATTCCTATGTACACTGCACATATCTTATTTGTAGTGCAAAAAACACTTAAAATAATACAATAATTAAAATGAAGAACAATTTTAACAAATATAAACTTATTCATATTTCAGTGGGAAGTGTGTGCCTGCTTTTGGCTGATGAGGTAGGATTGTTGTTGTGTGCTTTCAAGTCATTTCAGACTTAGGTTGACCCTGAGTGAGGGTCAGGTAAATGACCTTGGAGGGCCGTATTCAGCCCCTGGGCCTTAGTTTGAGGACCCCTGGCTTACACCATATGAGGATTTAAAGATCGAACTGCAAAGACTCTGGCACAAGCCAGTCAAAGGGGTCCCAGTGGTGATCGGCACACTGGGTGCAGTGCCTCAAGACTTTGGCCTACACTTAAAAAAAAATGGCACTGACGAAATTACCATCTGTCAGCTGCAAACAAGCCACCCTCCTCGGATCTGCACATATTTGCTGATACATCACATAGTCCTGAACACTCAGGAACTGTCCAACATGTGACAGTATAGTTGTTTGCTGTGTACTAATCTGTGTACTAATTTTAAATTGTATGCTGATGCTTTTATGTTAAGCTGTTTTGAGCCTCCTTCAGGAGAGATCAAACGGGGTATAAATAAATATAACAATAATATTTGTGTGTTTTAAATTGTAGGCTAATGCTTTTAAGTTAAGCCTCTTTAAGTCCTCCGGAAGAGATAAAGTGGAATATGAATAAACATAATAATAATAATAATAATAATAATAATAATAATAATAATAATAATAATTTTGGAGGTAGTCATTTGAAAAAAAATCTGTTGCTAGCTGTCCCCTCTTGTATATTAAGACCTTGTTTGCTTCTCAGATTGTCTTTTACTGGGGGTGGGTGGGGTTGGAAAATACAGGGTGAGGCAGCATAACTTCCTTTTTTCAAAACTTAATAAAACCAATTGTATGAATCAGAAATTTTATATATATATAAAACCCATTGTATGAATCAGATTTTTTTTTAATAATATAGGCACATACCTAAAGTTTTGTTTTACGTAGTTTTAAAGATCAAATTAGGTAGGTGACATCCCCCATTCTCCATACACTGAGTAAACAGATTTTCTGGCGTTTGTCATACTCTTGCCAGCATAGCAGGCATTATGTTGGCAATTTCTTCCTGGATGTTGGTCTTCAAATCTTGTAGGGTCCTTGGACGGTTCACATAAACACGGGATTTCAAAAAACCCCATAGAAAAAAATCACAAGGGGCCAAATCTGGAGAGCGGGCCGGCCACTCCAAATCCGCTTGAAAAGTAGGCCTCAACGGCAAAAACACGCTCCTCACTGTTCCAACGCATGATGGCGACTGAACTGTGTCAGGACAAAACTTTATACTCCCGCCTCTCGAACGAGACCACTAGCGCTCCGCTACGTCTTCAACTGACTGAATGGCATGCATTTTAAAAAAGGAAGTTATGCTGCCTCACCCTGTAAAAGGGTTAAGCATGCCATATTTCTTCTTAAGCAATTTCGACTATGCATGTCCCCTCCCTCTGCAATCCGTGCCTGTCCTGGTGTTTCCTTTGACTTCCATCTCCTGTGTGCTACGTTAGCCTATGTCACATACCAGGACATCCGTGCCATCAGCAACTTCAGTGAGCAAACAGTGATTGTGGTCAGGGCCCCACCAGAAACCCGGCTTGAGGTGCCAGATGTCTGTGAGGTGAGCCTTTTAGCACATTTCTTCTTTCTAAGCTATTTCCTCGATGGAGGAGCGAGCATTGTGACTGTCATTTCCACAGGGTTTTGTTTTGGGTCTCCTCAAGTCTCAGGCTGGTAGCGCACATATTTTCATTGATGGTGTCCATCCATCTTTTCTTTGGCCTTTGTCCATGTGGTTGCCGTCCTGCAATCTCCGAAGGCAGTGTGTTTGTGCTGCTGATGTTGGTTCTCTTCTCATGAGGTGGCTGGACCACCGTAGTCTTGCTTCCTGCATTTTCTTGCTGATCATTTTTATTTCTCGTCTTTGACAGATGTCATCATTTGGCACATGCTCAAGAAGTGTCAGACCAATTATCTTTCTTATCTATCTATCTTATCTATCTATCTATCTATCTATCTATCTATCTATCTATCTCTATTTCTATCTCTTTCTTTCTCTCTATTTCTCTCTACATCTCTATCTATTTCTATAAGTTCTTTCTAAGTTATTTTCCCAATGGAGAGGTGAGCATTGTGACTGTCGTTTCCACAGGGCTTTGTTTTGGGCCTTCTCACTTCTGGTGGGCAGCACGTTTATCTTAATTGATGGTGTGCATCCATTTTTTTTTTTTACTTTTCTTTGAATGTCTTCATTTGGCACACAGTCAAAAAGTGTCAAGCCATCTGTCTGTCCATCTCTCTCCCTCTGTGTGTCTGTTTGTCTAACTATGTATCTATTTCTATCTATTTTTATCTGTCTGTCTTTATTTCTATCTATATCTTATTTCTATCTCTATCTCTCTTCTTTCTAAGATATTTTCCCAATGCAGGGGTAAGCTTTATGACTGTTGTTTCCACAGAGCTTTGTTTTGGGTCTCCTAAGGTCTCAGATTGGCAGCACGCATGTCTCTGTTGATGGTTTCAAGCCAAGTGTCTGGCTATCCATCTGTCCATCCATCTATCTGTGTGTTTGTTTGTCTAACTATCTATCTCTATTTCTATCTCTTTCTATCACTCTATCTTTATTTATATCTATATCTTATCTCTATCTCTCTATCTATCTCTATCTTCTTTCTAAGCTATTTCCCCAATGGAGGGATGAGCATTGGGACTGTCATTTCCACAGGGCTTCATTTTGGGCCTCCTCGAGGTCTCAGGTTGGCTGCACACATGTCTCCGTTGATGGTGTCCATCTTTTCTTTGACCTTTGTCAATCATATCAAAATACTGTGCTGTTTGTGCTACTGATATTGGTTCTTTTCTCATGACATGGTCGTACCGCCATAGCCTTGCTTCCTGCATTGTCTTGCCGATTGCTTTTGATTCCTAGTCTTTGACAGATGTCATCATTTGACACATGGTCAAAAAGTGTCAAGCCAAGTGTCCGGCAAAAACCCCACCCCACCTTCTATCGGTGCTGACTGGATAACCAACCAACGGGGCAACGGTCTGTAGCTGTACCAGCTGCAGTACAAACAGTTGCATCAATCATGAAACAACTTTTTAGCACGCTGTTACCATTTAATGGTGTTCTCACTTTTGTATGGCGCTTGTTAAACTTGGACTAAGTGTTGGGATCATTAGCTGCCTTGAGACCCCACGGGGAGAAAGGTGGGGTATAAATACAGTTAGTAATAGTTCTGTATCTTCTATAACTTCCCCCCACAGTCGACACTTTGAGTGAGCTGGAGACTTTGTGGCCGCTTAATGGGCCTATCTTCGATCGATTTACTCGATCGGAAGATGTTGCCAGAATCCTGGCTGCTGCAAAACCAACCACCTGTTCCCTTGATCCGTGCCCCTCGTGGCTGATCAAGAGCTGCTTGGAAGGTCTACTCGATCCGTTGTGCAGTATAATCAATGGCTCTCTTGAACAGGGGGTTTTCCCGGACAACCTAAAAGAGGCAAGAGTTCGTCCCTTGTTAAAGAAGCCTAGCTTGGATCCTATGACCCTTGCCAATTATCGTCCTGTCTCTAATCTGCCATTCTTAGGTAAGGTGATAGAGCGGGCTGTACTGGGACAATTGCAACAATTCCTGGATGACACAGCTGGCCTGGACCCTTTCCAGTCAGGTTTTCGCCCTGGCCATGGGACAGAGCCAGTCCTGGTTGCCATTACAGATGAACTCCGTCGCCAGTCTGACAACGGTGGATCCGCGCTACTGGTACTTCTCGACCTTACTGCAGCAATTGACACCGTTGACTACGATCTAATGATTCACCATCTTGCCATGTCCGGAGTTCGCGGTCAGGCCCTTAATTGGTTCAACTCATTTCTCTGAAACTGGAGTCAGGGTGTGGAGTACATGGATCAAGTCTCTGATAGATTCCCCCCCCCCCCATGTGGGGTCCCCCAAGGTGCAATTCTCTCCCCTCTTCTCTTCAACATCTACGTTAGACCCCTTGCTAGTTTGGTCCGGAGTTTCAGCCTGAACTGCTACCAATGTGTGGACAACACCCAACTCCTGCGCTTGGAGCCTGGAGCAACGTCAATACCAGACAATTTCACCTTATGTCTGAAGGCTCTGTCGAACTGGCTACGTGCTGGTAGACTGAAGGTGAACCCGGCGAAGACTGAGATTCTCTGGCATGGCCGCTCGATTGGTCTGACTCATCCGCTACCCACCTTCGATGGTGCCGCCCTATCTCCTTCGTCCACTGTTAAGAGCTTGGGTGTCGTTTTGGATTCGCAGCTGACAATGGAAGCTCAGGTTGCTGCTGCCAGCAAAAAGGCCTTTTTCCATCTACGACAAGCGAGGCAATTGGCACCCTACCTATCTGATGAGGCTCTGGCAACAGTCATCCATGCCACGGTCACATCTAGGCTAGACTATTGCAACGCCTTGTATGTTGGCCTTCCGATGTCTACGACCCGAAAGCTCCGTATTGTTCAGAATGCGGCAGCCAGGTTACTCACAAGAACGCCCATGAAATGCCATATAACACAAGTCCTGCAGCACTTACATTGGCTTCCAACTGAGTACCGTGGCCTGTATAAGATGCTAGTTCTGACCTTTAAAATTCTTTACGGCCAGGGTCCATTGTACCTTAGGGACTGTCTCTCCTTCTCCCAACATCGGAGGTTGCAACGACCAGCCCAACGTGACTTACTCTATATACTGGGTCCTAGAGAAGTGCACTTGGAAAGTACCAGACGCAGGGCTTTTTCTATTTCTGCCCCTGCCTTATGGAATTCCTTGCCGCCCTACATGAGAGCCATGCGTGACTTAGGGCCTTTTACTCTAGCACTTAAGACCTGGCTTTTCACTAGAGTATTTGATCTATGTTAATCATTAATTTCTGTATGTATGTATTTTTATCTTTTACAATTTAGCTTGTAAATCGCCTAGAGCATCTCGGATGGAGGGCGATTAATAAATAATTAAATATGATATGATGATGATATGATAATCCAACATGGTTTCAGGAAAGATCTATCTCTTGACTGACACTAATCCTGTCGTTACTCACAAGGTATCTCTTTTCGTACAGGCAATGCTGAAAATCCGGGCAAGATTAATTTCTGATATTGCAGTTGACTGTTCTGAGGAAGCTTTTACCTTATCATAATGTTGTTGTCTGTATCCAAAGTGTTTCTTGCTTAAGCTTTTATAATACTGAATTTGACTTGGTTTTTTAATTATGCAAGAGCTGGTTCATATAGCATTTTATGTAGTATTTTCAGGGGGCATCTTGCAATTGATTTTTGTAGCATTTTAATTGTTTAGGTAATATTTTGACGGTGTTTTTTGTATTGTATTTAATAATCTGGTTTTTATGTATTTATGTTTGTCCTGTTTGGGAAATACCTATGGTCTAAACATTGAATAAACATTCTGCTATTGTGTCCCCACAGGGAGAAAGGCGGGGTATAAATAAAGTTAATAATTTATTTTTTTTATCATGTCAGAAGAGAGTTGAGGGTACAGTTAAAATGCATTTAAAAACACAAAGTTTTTTTTAAATAACTTGGCATTATGCTAAATGACCTTTGACCAGAAGCTGGCCACTTGGAGTGCCTCTGGTATCGCTGTGTGAAGGTCCTCCATTGTGCATGTGGCAGGACTCAGATTGCATTGTAATAGGTGGTCTGTGGTTTGCTCTCCTCCATGTCGTGGACTCCACTTTGTGGGCCCATTTCTTAAGGTTGGCTCTGCATCTCGTGGTGCCAGAGCTCAGCCTGTTCAGTGCCATCCAAGTCACCCAGTCTTCTGTGTGCCCAGGAGGGAGTCTCTCATTCGGTGTCATCCATGGATTGAAGTTCCAGGTTTGAGCCTGCCACTTTTGGACTCTCGCTTGCTGAGGTGTTCCTGCGAGTATCTCTGTAGATCTTAGAAAACTATTTCTTGATTTAAGGCGTTGGTGTGCTGGCTGATATCCGAACAGAGGATGGGCCAAAGATCTCACTGCCTTGGTCCTTTCATTATTGGCTGCTACTTTCCGATGGATATCAGATGGTGCAATACTTCTAAACAGTGGTGTGGGGTGTAGACATCCTCTGATAATGCGGCATGTTGCATTAAGAGCCACATCCACTTTTTCAGCATGGTGAGATGTTTTCAAGTTAATCATCATTTTATTCCTTACCCGCCTCTCTCTCCTCATGGCTCGAGGCGGGTTACAGAATAACTAAACACATATACATTGTAGAAATGGCACAAATACATGTATTATAATATATTTCTATAAAAGATATTTATTGATAAGTATTTCTTTCAAATATGTATTAAAATATGCAAAACAGAGATTAAACAAAGGACACACGTTTCAAAGGACACACTGTTCGTGTAGGCCTGCTGGAAGAGATAGGTCTTTAGGTGGTTTTAAAATTAAAGATAATAATAATAATAATTCGGGGCAGGAGGTGAGGAGCATAGGGTAGAAGGAGGAGTACCTCATCCCTCTGCCAGAGAAGTGGCAGAACATTTTCATTGATTTGCAGCTTGGAACATTTTTTTTAAGCCAACCGAAAGATGCCTTGGACTTGCCAGGAATTGTATGGTTATTTTCCTTCCTCTTTTTCTGACCAGGAGAATGTCCAGCTTCATCTTCAAAGCAGCAATGGTCCCATCGATGTGTACCTGTGCCCTGAGGAAATTCTTGAGAAGAGTCCAGCTAAAAGGAGCGAAAGTAGTAACCTCCCAGCAGTGAAAGGTAATAATAATAATAATAATAATCATCATCATCATCTATATAAATAAAATGCAAATGTTTGCTTGTTCAAAACATCAAATTTTTCCCAAATACTTCACTTATGCTTTGAAATTTTGACACAAGGTAGTGTTTGAACAGGCACGTTTTTATGTTTACACAAACCTATTATATAGATGTCACACATGTGACAGGTGAAAATATGCTTTTTTTTTCTTTCTTTTTTTTTTTGCAAAAACAGCCCCATCTGGACATCCAAATAACACACACTATCCTGCATATTTTACAATTCTATTTCAATATTTTAGAATGCATTGCTACATTGAATTTTCATATATTTCCATTTAGTTTCATTTTGATTTAATTGCATTGGAATTCTCCAGTGCCTGGAGTATCAGTATGCCAAGCAAGCACACTGTAGAACCAATGCAGTTTGACACTATTTTCACAACCCAGACTCAAGGCTGTGGAATTGTGGGAGGTGCAGTTTTTTGCAGCACTCTTTGGCAGAGATGGCTAAAGACCTTGGCAAACTACAACAGCACCCATGACTTCGCGCCTTTGAGTTGGGGGGTGTCAAAGCTGCACCTGTTCTCCAAGCAGAGAGCCAGAAGAGGCTTCAGGAAGCTGCGGCGACAACAGGGAAAGCCTGGTGGTGGCGGCTCCCAGGACCAGGAGAACCTAGCCAGAAGCCTCATGGCAGAGCAGCGGTGAAGGAAGGGCCATGGGGAGGCACAAGAGTCAGGCGAGGTAGAACTGAAAGCAGTGGGCAGCGGAGCAGCCAAAACGTTACAGCTCTCATCTATGCCAAGGTTTCAAGAGTGGCTTGACCTGTCTCAATGCATAGAAAGGCGTATGGCACACATCTAGGGAGCCCCATTAGTTTCCGGAGAAACTTGGAATGTGATTTATTAATTGCAGAAATCCATATAGTAAGAGAACCAATCCTATCCTCAAAAACCTTGAGGGCAGCAGGGATATATTTGTTGGGCAAGTGGGCTTATTAGCAAAAGACCCTCCTAATAAACGTACAGCATAATAACTTATTAGCAGCAGCGTGACCCAGCACCAGTAGCCAAAAGTGATAAAAAGAACAAAAACACACAGACCAGTGTTGTATCTTCCTTAGGAGGCTTTTCTTTATAGCAAAATAATATGGTTGCACTATTTACAAGAACAAGGTTTCCATAACACAAATAAAGTTCTTTATACTTCCTTCTTTTCCACGCTGGGCTTCTTTCTCATGCAGATAAACAGCTTCGCTCTTACAGAATTTTTTCTCACACCGAAGTTACACAGGAGCTTCACACAGTAGCGTAATATACACAGCAGCCTTCACACACGATGGCCTTCGACCTGGGGCTTCTCTCACAGAAGCCCCATACTGGAGCCTACTAACACTGAGGCCTACGTCACACTGAAGCCTTTCTCCCACTCAGGCGAACTAATACTGAGGCCTTCTCATGCAGAGGCCTACAAACACACTGAGGCCCTACTCACAGACTGAGACTACTGAGCTACAGGCACACCTGCTTATATAGAACTACAGCTTTTGCTGAGTCATTGCATCCATTTGGAAGCCCCGATGGTGCAGTGGTTTAAACTGCTTAGCTGCTGAACTTGCTGACCGAAAGGTCGCAGGTTAAAATTCAGGGAGCGGGGTGAGCTCCCGCTGTTAGTCCTAGCTGCTGCCAACCTAGCAGTTCGAAAATATGAAAATGTGAGTAGATCAATAGGTACTGCTTCTACGGGAAAGTAATGGTGTTCCATGCAGTCATGCTGGCCATATGACCCTAGGTGACTATGGACAACGCTGGCTCTTTGGCTTAGAAATGGAGATGAGCACCACCTCCCAGAGTCGGGCATGACTGGACTTAATGTCAGGGGAAAACTTTTACCTTTACTTGTATCCATTTAATCCTTTCAGTGCTTGACTCACATTATTGTAATTAAAAATAGCTAGTTAATTGTTACCGTATATTCCGGTGTATAAAACGACTGGGCGTGTAAGATAACCCCAACTTTTCCAGTTAAAATATAGAGTTTGGGATATACTCGCCGTATAAGACTACCCTTCTTCCAACACACACAAAATAAAAATTTTAATAGTATGACGGATACTAAAAGAGGTACCATCATTCGTGATGAGTAAAAGAAAGCAATATTATTTTTTAACAGACGAATTAAAAAAACAACAAATTAAATTCCGCTGGGAGAAATACGAAGGAGTAATGGTCACGTATGGAGATGAAAAATACTGGATCACATCAGTTGACAAAGCAAAAAATTTCTACAGGAAAATTAGAAAAAAAGAAGAAGAACTCAGTCGAGATAAGAGACACCAAGAAAAGGGAGCGACCTCCAAAGATTACAAGGAAACAGAGGAGGAAGAAGTGGAGTTAACAGGAATGTCCGATCCAATTAATGATAGAGGAAAAGGTGAAAAGAGAGCTAGACAAACGTCCCCAGAAGATTACGTCAAACAATTGTATAAAAACAAAGGCACAAAGGACTTAATTGATATAATACCTGATGAGGAAAATAAGAATAGTATCTAATAATGTGAATGGGCTTAACAGCCCCAATAAAAAGAAATTGATATACAACCAACTTAAAAGTCTGAGATGTGATTTAATTGCACTCCAAGAAACGCATATAATGCAAAAACATGTAGCACACCTTGAAAATAAACAATTAGGGAAACTATTCTACTCATGTTCACCAAAAAAGAAAAAAGGAGTCGCAATGTATATAAAAGACCATTTCAACCCAGAGTTAGCCTTCAGAGATGAAGAAGGTAGAGTAGTCGCGGCCAAACTCAAAGTAGGGGACTACGATATCCTAATTTGCAACATCTACGCCCCAAACGGAACAAAAACTTCTTTTGTAAACCAGCTAAGGAAGAAACTAATAGAACATGCATGTAACAACATAATAATAATAGGTGATTTTAATGGGGTAGTAGACGGTAAAATGGATAAAACAAAAAAAAAAGGAAGAGGGGGAGACCCCAAAGGGGGGAGACTCCCACTAAGCCTCTTAAATTTGCGACAAGAATTCCAATTAAAAGATATTTGGAGAATAAAAAACCCTGAAATGAAAGACTACACTTTTTACTCCAATAGGCATGACACATGGTCCAGGATCGACATGTGTTGGGCGACTAATAGCCTAACAGTCAAAACTACTAAAGCTGAAATACTCCCAATGACACATACGGACCATTGCCCACTAAAAATTGACATTCAGCTAAATCATCATCACAGAATATGGAGACTAGACGACTCAATAATAAAATCAGAGGAAGATATAAAGCTCAACAAAAAAATATTACAAGAGTTCTTTGACAACAACCTCAATAAAGGAACTAAATTAGAGACAGTTTGGGAAACAAGCAAAGTATTCATTCGAGGCCATTTCATACAGCAGAGAGCCATAAGAAACAGGAAAAGAAGAGAAAAAGTAACAGAACTGGAACAAAAACTGAAAGAAAAAGAAGACATACTCAAAAAAAGATTAGGAAACAAAAAAATAAAATTGGAGATAGAGATGATCAAAAAGGAAATCGAATCAACACAAATAGAAGAAATGGCAAAAAAAATGAATTACCTTAGGGCGCAACATTTCGCGACTGCAAATAAACCAGGGAAGTACCTAGCAAAAAAACTAGCTAAGAGAAGACAACAAAGATTTATAACCCAAATCAAGGAAGGAAATAAAAATTATACCAAAGAGAAGGAGATTGTAGAACAATTCAGGAAATTCTATCAAGAGCTTTACAAGAAGGATACGACATCTAAAGAAGATATAACAGCATTCCTCTCCAAACAAAATATTTTAAGAATCTCCGATATGGAAAGGGAGTACATGAACAAACCGATAGATGAAGAGGAAGTGTTAAAATGTATAAACAAACTGGCGACCAACAAGACCCCAGGTCCAGACGGTCTTACAGCCTATTATTATAAGGTCTTCAAAGAAGAAATAATCACCCAATTAAAAGAGATAATGAACAATATTATGGAAGGAGGTGAAATGCCAGAGACATGGCATGAAGCGAACATAACACTTATTCACAAAGAAAAAACAGAACCCACAAATCTAAAAAACTACCGACCCATTTCCCTCCTAAACTATGATTATAAAATCTTTACAAGCCTATTGGCAGAGAGATTCAAGAAATTATTACAAGAGAGAATAAAAGAAGACCAAAGAGGATTTCTTCCAAATAGGCAAATGAGGGACAACATTAGAATAGTGATTGACATTATTGAATTATGTGAGAAAAACCCACAAAAAAACATAGGTTTACTGTTCTTAGACGCGGAAAAGGCCTTTGACCGCACGAACTGGGACTTTATCTCAGCGGTACTAATAGAAATGGACATCGGATATGCCATCCAAAACGCTATAAGAGCTATCCATGCAAAACAAACGGCGGCGATAATAGTTAATGGCTTGCAATCGGACAGGATAAAAATTCAGAAAGGGGTGAGACAGGGCTGTCCCCTTTCTCCTCTATTATTTATATTGGTGCTGGAAATCTTACTAGATGGACTCAGGGAAGATAAAGACCTTAAAGGCCTGAAGATCCAGTCGGAAGACTACAAGGTCTTGGCCTTCGCCGATGACCTAGTATGCATAATAGATAACCCGACGTATAATACCACCAAATGGATAGATAAGATAGAAAGCTTTGGTAAGCTGGCAGGTCTGAAAATAAATAGAAATAAAACCAAAATGCTAACAAAAAATGTGAATAAGGAAGGGAAAGATAAAATTTACAACGACACAGGAATAGAAATAGCAAAAAAAATCAAATATCTAGGTATTGCGATCTCCCCATCCAACAGACATCTTTTCAAAGAAAATTATGAAAAAGCTTGGGAAGAGGTCAAAAAGAAACTAAAAAGCTGGAAATACCTTAGTCTATCTCTACTTGGAAAAATAGCAGCGATCAAAATGAGTGTGCTGCCAAAATTAATATTCTTGTTCCAAATGATCCCAATTATAAAATCTGGCTTATGTTTTAAGAAATGGAACAAAGACATTCTAAACTTCATCTGGGATGGGAAGAAACATAGAATTAAATCTCAGAACCTTATGGACGCAAAGCAAAGAGGAGGATTAGCGTTACCGGATTTACAAATCTATTATGAAGCGTCTGTCCTATCATGGACAAAAACCTGGGCCACCCTTGACCAGAAAAAAATCTTAACTCTTGAAGGGTTCAACATCAGAAGGGGATGGCACGCATACCTATGGTATGAAAAAGCAAGCATTGAAAGAAATTTCACAAACCATTATATAAGATCCTCTTTATTAAAAACATGGAACAAATATAAAAACTTCTTTTATAAAAGAAACGCCTACTTGGATATCACCAGTGGAGGCATACCACAAGAGGGAAATACCCAGAAATAAGTGGATCAACTATAAGCAGCTACTCACAAAGACCAATGGGGAGTGGCAAATAAGATCCCTAGAAGACCTGAAGGAAATAGACAGTGGAATGACTTGGCTCCATTACCTACAAATCAAAGAACATTTCAAGACCGATCGAAAAACTGGTTTCAATGAAACAGATACGTGTTGGGACATTATCATGAAAAAAGATAAAAAGCTAATTAAAATGCTGTACAAGATATTGCTTGAATGGAAAAATGAAAAGGAACTGATAAAGGGAAACATGATCAAATGGGCTAAAGATATTGGCCACTCAATATCACTTAGCGACTGGGAACATACTTGGAGAAACAAAGCAAATTTTACAAAAGCTACTAATATAACTGAGAACTGGTATAAGATCTTCTATAGATGGCACTTAACACCAGCCCACTTAGCCAAATTCAGCAAAAAGAACGATGGATTATGTTGGAAATGCAAAAAAGAAATTGGAACTTATTACCATCAATTCTGGCTTTGCAGAGAAATTAGAAAATTCTGGCAAATGGTCCATAAACATACTCAAAATATAACACACACAAAATTTGACATGAAACCTGAACTCTATCTTTTAAATATAATGACTACAAAATTTAATAAGGACCAAGAAAGAATATTTCTTTACCTAGCCGCAGCAGCAAGAATCTTGATTGCAAAAAAATGGAAAACTGAAGAAACTCCTACCAGTGAGGAATGGATTGGAAAGATCATGGACTTTAAGAACTTAGATAAACTATCACAAGCCTTAGGACAAGATGACAAAACCAAACGAACTAACTGGAAGTGCTTGGAAGAGTTTCTTAAGACACAAGTTAAACTAGATATATAAGGTGCTACAACGAAAGCAAAACTAGGAATATAGGTGAAGGAGAAAGAAAATACACAGACAAAGTGAACCTTCCCTGCAGACTGAACGGAAGTCAGAAGTACTTCACTCCCCCTCCCTCATCCTTCCCCCCTTACCTTCGGACCCTCCTCCCCTCCTCCCCCCCTCCCTCCTCTCCCTCACTCACAACGTAAGCCTTTTTGGCTTGCCTCCCTTTATCTTTCCGTTTCCCACCCTTTCTATCCAGTATATTGTTCCCACTCTTTCAATGTATAGACAAAAAGAAATTTATAAAAAACAATAAAAAAAAAAATAAAAATTTTAAAAGCATCAGATTTGATTTCAATATGGTAATTTTCCTATTACTGTACCTCCTTCTCTGCGTCTCAGATCTCACACATGCGCACCTGTACCACTTCACTACAGTCTTCAGGAGCAAGATCTGAGAGGCAGAGGAGGAAGTATGGTAATCGGATACAAGGGCGGGCCAGACAGGTAAAAGAGGTGTGTTTTTCTGGGCCCAGAGCCACTCTATCTCTTTTTTCCATACCCCGGGCGCTCCGGACACCTGCAGCTTCCTCCGCCCTTCACTTACACCTTCCTGGTGAGGGGCCCCTTCAACTCACCATCGGGACCGGATTAAGTCCACAAATCCTGATGAATGGATTTTCTTCTACCACACTTGTACAGCGTTGCCATTAATGCTTTCATACAATCTTTGCATACGGCAGGAATGCGGCCACTGCCATTTTTGAGCTCTCCGCACCATATGCAGCAACCACAGATTCTCCAATCCGGATTGGAAGTTTCAGGACCTGCTCTATAAGACGACTCCTGGCATATAAGACAACTCCCATGTATAAGAATACTCCCACGTATAAGACAACTCCCGCATATAAGACGACCCTTGACTTTGAGAAGATTTTCTTGGATTAAAAAGTAGTCTTACACGCCAGAATATACCGTAATATTTCCGACAATATTGCTTACCCTTACTGCAGAAGAAACAATAATATTTCTGCAAACATTTATCAGGTTATTTCAGCGATATAACTTCCTTATTCCCTTTTTACAAAAATGGTCATGTGTTACAAGTAACCATGCATTTTGTTCTCTCTTACTCTCCAGTTGAGTCAGAGAAGATGGAGCCACCAAGCTGCCTGATGGAGGGAGAAGTCGGCCTCCTGGAGCTGCCTCAGAACCTTTTACAGCAGACGGAGGACCAGCTTCCTTCCGCATCCTATGGCAACACAGGCCCCTTTGTGAGCTTCTCCCCTCCCCTTGACCAAGAAGACTATCTGTGGGGACTGGAGGAGGGTGAAGGTGTCAGTGACCTATTCGAGGCCTATGACCTAGGTGACCTGTTGAAGAACTGAATCAGGATTCACTGTCCTTTCAATGGTGCTAATAATTCCTCATTCTCTGCTCCAAAGCCTTGGACTTCGGCTGAAATGTCTTGCCTTGGTGGTATATTTGCTTTGTAGGGGCCCACAAGTAAACCTCTGACTCCCGTAGATCCTTGCACACTCCAAGTTTTTCCAAAAACTGTTGATGAGGGAGCATCACGTGTTGTTCTAGTGAAGTCTTTTTGAACCATCTTTAAGCATGTTCTGCAGATTTTGAGAGTTTGGGGTGGTTATTCCTTTGTCACCCTTCTCTCAGCGCACTCCAAAAATAACCTCAGAGGCCATGGTTTTTCTAACATGCCCGCAAGCCTAGTGTTCTTGTTCTGCACTGGTTTTTCACCTGGGCAGGGAAAAACAAATTTAGGGTTAAAGGAGGTGATCTGTTTTCCTGCGAACATCTTTTTATTGTGATACTCGTTTGCTGCAACCAAAATGATCATTTGTCAGAAATGGTGGGAGTTCTAATTCTAAACATAGAGGATGCAAAATGTTGCCTCAAACCAGAATGCAACCAGTGCTCTGTGGTTTCCGATTAGAGAAGAAGGAGTTGTCGAACAAAGGGAATCTCCAAATTAGTCATCTTCCAGTTGGAATTATCGACATTAACAGCCCGAGTCTGTGATACAAAATATCTGGTTAGCAAAAGACATGTTTCTCCAGAGTCAAGCTTTAAAATACGACGTAGGCTGCAGCTCTCCAAATCCCATTGCCAGAAGGGCCACTAGCCTGCAGAGTCTAGGAGTTGTAATTCCACAAGGGAACAATTTGCAGTTCTTGTCCTGCTGCTGGGTTTCCTTTCCAAATAATTGTTGTATGAAATGACCTATCTGTTGCGTGGTTTCCAACATCAGGCTTTGTTATCCTGCCTTTTGAAACCCGAGCATGCCTTTGTTTTTAGCTTGCAAGAGCCTTCCTCTCCTGATGTGGAGATGTGGTGCCACTTGGATCCTTTCGTCAAGTCAACAGGGAAGGAGGCTTCCTTTATGTGGCACATGGCAAGTGGTTTATATTGTCCCAGGCTGCAAAGAGTTAAGACCTTCATGAGGCTGTGCTACGCATCCTTTGCTCAGATTTCTGTGAAGGAAGGAAATAAGTTGCATTTCTGGAACTGGGTCCAAGTGCACACTCCACCTCTTCACTTAAATATAAACCTCGAACCTTTCTGGTTGATCAGTTCCTTTCCTTGCATCTATATAGCAGGTAAAACATTCTTTTTTTCCACTGATGTGTCATTCCTAGTTAAGTTGTACAAGAGGATTATTATTATTCACTATCCTTCAAACTACTCTGATGAATGAGATCCTTTCTTCCTGGATTCAAAGTAGCATTGTAGTCAAGACCTGGAAGGTTTGGCTGTTTTTAAGAGTTGTTTTCAAACTAGCATATTGGATTGTAACTCTGACAATCCCCAACCAGCACACCCACATCTTTGGATCACACTGACTTCAAAAGGTCAGTTTATAAAATAGGCTGTGTCGATTTTTCCCCCTCATTGGCTCCAGATTTGCTTTAGTTTGTTCACCAAGACCCCTGCTACATAGACCCCATGTTATCTGCTTTGAACTGGGTTATATGGCAGTGTAGACTCAGGTAATCCAGTTCAAAGCAGATCATGTGGATTATTTGCTTTGATAATCTAGATTATGTGATAATCTGATAATCTAGATCATGTGGATTATCTGCGTTGATAATCTAGATTAATCTAGATTATATGATAGTCAAAGGGGTCCAAATTTTCTTGCCCAACCAATCCTATTTCTCCAAAAGGTGCTTGCTTTCAGTCTTTGGAGATGACCCATGTGTGACTGCTCCTCTTTAATTTGGCTCAGTTCAATGATTAAGTGAATCCTTCCCCCTCGCACTCTATTCTTTGACCACCAAACAGCCAAACAGGAAAGTAAGAAAGGCTTGAAAATGGATAGAGGCGCAGCTACCGTTTTGGAGGTGTAGTGTCCTGTCCAAAACTGATTCCATGCATTTTGAGAATGTATCTATTAGTCATGTGCATTCGGGATAAACCTTAATCCATTTCATATCTCTGCTTTCGGAGGGGCCCTCAATCCGTTTCGACTGAGCCTCCCAAAATCAGGAAGGCAGATATTTGTTTTCCATTTTTGGTGTTGAAAGATCTGTTTTCTTTCGATACATTATTGGGGTGAGACTTCAGCCATAGGTCCAAAGAGCCCAGGCTTACGGGTGCAGGCTTTGGGCCTATGCGTCCAGGCCTGCCAAGGCCTACAGCCGGGCACCGATAAGGAGCACTCCTTACTCAGCGCTCAGCTACAGTCACTGCCAGGCCCGGGCACATAGGTTCAAAGCCTGCACCCATAGGCCCAAAGTGCCGAGGTGCCTGCACTGAGTCAGGGGTGCTCTTTACTTGGCTGCAGGTCATGCCAGGCCCCAGCGCTTTGGGTCTACATGCGCGGCAATCAATCCGAAAAGCTGACTTGGAGCCAGTATCTGCTCCTACCTGCCTTTTGTATCGAGTCAAACAATGTATTGTCGAAGGCTTTCATGGCCGGAATCACTGGGTTGTTGTAGGTTTTTCTGGGCTATATGGCCATGTTCTAGAGGCATTTTCTCCTGATGTTTCGCCTCCAACAGACCTCACTATTATTTATTTATTTATTATTTACTTTATTTGTATACCGCTGTTCTCAGCCCTTAGGCGACTCACAGCGGTTAACAACAAGAACAGCAAAAATTCTGACACCTTCACCCTCCTCCAGTCCCCACAGATAGTCTTCTTGGTCAAGGGGAGGGGAGATGCAGGCGAAACGTCAGGAAAAAATGCCTCTAGAACATGGCCATATAGCCCGGAAAAACCTACAACAACCCATGAATCAAACAGATGAGACAAATTTCGGGCCCATGACTAGTATCTATTCATTTCCATGATAAGCTGGTACAGGTGTCCTGGTTTATATTTCCAGCCTGTAAGTGCAGAGCCACTTACAGGCTAGAAACTAGAAACAGTGATACTCTTTGGTTGTGGGCAAGATGGACTTGCTACTGAAAATGGCATCTTAGACCTCTGAGAATTTTTTTAGCAAAACACATGAGATATTATTAGACTAAAGTTCCCCAGGGTTTTAAGTATAGAGCAGGCATGGGCAAACTTGGGCCCTCGAGGTGTTTTGGACTTCAACTCCCACAATTCCTAACAACCTCAGACACCTTCCTTTTCTCTTTTTCTTTCCGCTTAAGAGGCTGAAGGGGAAATGGAAAGATCCTGAGACTGTTAGGAATTGTGTTAGTTGAAGTCCAGAACACCTGGAGGGCCCAAGTTTGCCCATTCCTAGTATAGAGGAAATCAGGGTATTGTCCTATCAAGGCAAATAGCAAATTTGATGAAATAGTATGGAAGAGAAGGGCACAGAGGTAGGAAACTGGTTGCAGTGATGCTCTTTGGAGTGGTAGTCTCACTACTTGCATTATGTCCAGGTTTGCACTAAGGCAGCACAGGTTATTAATGGTGAAGGCATACTTTCTCAGGGATCAAAGATTTCACTTATTTTGTTGCTTCTGCTGAAATATGACATTGCTTTGTAGGCTGGCGATGCCAAACGCACATGTATGTTTCCTCCATGCTTGCACACATGTTGTGTAGTAAATTTTCCACTTATGTCAGGCATTTTAAAAATCCCATGTAGGTTTGCAATATATTGTTGGTGTGGAAGTAGGGAGCTTGCTGTCCAACTTTGTTTCTTCTAAGTTAGGCCTCTGTAAGGTTGCAATAGTAGTATAGTAGGTCACCCAAAGGTCTGCTATCACATGAGCCTTTCATACTGAGCACAGTGTCCAGGGATGAACCGGGATGATTAATTTGGAGTGAATAAGCCTGTTGATGTGCCAGTCTGCAAAAGGATTGTCTTAGAGCTGGCCATGCAGGCAACCCAAGCATCCATTGGGTTGTATTGTCAAAGGCTTTCATGGCCGGAATCACTGGATTGTTGTAGGTTTTTTTGGGCTATATGGCCATGTTCTAGAGGCATTCTCTCCTGGCGTTTCGCCTGCATCTATGGCAAGCATCCTCAGAGGTAGTGAGGATGCTTGCCATAAATGCAGGCGAAACGTCAGGAGAGAATGCCTCTAGAACATGGCCATATAGCCCAAAAAAACCCACAACAACCCATCCATTGGGTTGGTCCATTTTTCCTGCTGTCTTCCTGCCTAGCAGATGGCACTGAACTCCTGATCAGGTGGGGCATTCATAGTTAACATTTTGATGGTTTCAGCTGCAGGTCATCATTGGAAAGGGTCTTTCCCAGGCCCCGTCTACACTGCCATATAATCCCAAGGATTAAAGCAGATAATCCGCATGCTCTGCTTTGAACTGGATTACAGTAGTCTTGCTTAACTAACCTTTGCTTATCCAACATTCTGTATTATATAACGTGCCTTGGCTGCTTCTGGCTTGGAAGAATAAAAACAAGGCTTTTCCACAGAGAATTGCAATGAGGCTCCGCTTCCCTTCTTGCTGTCTCTCTCCTCTTTGGGGTCTCGCATTCAGCCCAGGCAAGGCTTCGTGGAAGTGGCTTCCGTGCTGGTAAATGGGGAGCCATGCTGAGGCTGCCAGCTACCCTGGCTTCTCTGCCAGCCTTGCTTTTTGGCACTCTTGACCTCATTGCCCATCCTTGCTTCACCCCCTCCCCCCTTGCAGCCCTGGCTCCCCTCCCTCCCCCCCCCTCTCTCCAGCAGAAGAAATGTTTGCTTCTGGGAGCGATGTCAAGAGCCCCCACTTCCTCCCTCCTGCCTTTGCTTGGGTTTAATAGGCTTTTCCTTAATCCCCCCATATTATCTGACATTTTCGCTTATCCAACATTCTGGTGGCCCGTCTGTGTCAGATAAGCAAGACTACTGTATATGCATCTACACTGCTATATAATCCAGTTCAAAGCAGATCATCTCAATTTTATATCGCAGCGTAGAATGGGCCCCAATGACAGTTGTAGTCCAAAGTATTTGGAATTGCCATTGAAGCCTTCTGCTCAATGGACTTGTTGAGAACTTATGCTCTCATGTATCAGGGTTATGTCAGATTTTCATGCAAAAATAGTGAGGGTGTAAATGCTTGATTTTTAAATGAGCTGATCACTGCCTTTCTGCAGCTGTTCCTTTACCTCTAGTTTGCGCCTTCTGCAGTGAACGCTGGCGGCTTTCCTCTTGGGTGATTCCCAGGCAACAGGCAATGGTTTGTATCATGGTGTATCACTGCGATGTGCCAGATTCCAGTTGGGTGGTGTCATTTCCCACTTCTCTCCACAATTTGCTTTTTCATAAGGATTTTATTGGAATCACTATTTGCAAAAATGTTAAGTTGGATGCAGGGCCTTGGAGAGGTCCTAGCAGCAGTGGAGGACAATTTCTATTGCTTATCAGGAATTTATTGAGAGCTAGCTTCCTTGTATGCCAAATTCAGCTTAAGCCAAATCCGCCCCTTTCTTGGCTGTGCTGCAAAGAGCGCTGACTAAGCCAGCTACCTCCATTCTTTTCCTTGATAAAGCAGGACATATGAATTCTTGAGTTCATGCAACAAACATGGGTCCTTTTTACATGGGTCCTTTTTACATGGAGTGATTGCAGCACCTGAAGCCAGGGGCACCAGCATGCCAGAGATGTGTGGCATATCTGTTGCCACCAGATAGATGTCTTTGCACAATCTGAGGTCCCTTCTACACTGCCATATAAAACCCAAATGATCTTCTTTGAACTGGATTAAATGGCAGTGTAGACTTAAGACAATCCAGTTCAAAGCAGATAATGTGGATTAACTGCTTTGATAATTGGATTATATGGCAGTGTAGACTAAGAGCCCTTCCACACAGCCATATAAGGCAGATAATCCACAGTATCTGCACTTGAACTGGGTTATCTGAGTCCACACTGCCATATAATTGAGTTCAAAGCAGATCATGTGAGTTTTATATAGCTGTGTGGAAGATAATCCAGTTCAAAGCACATAATGTGGATTATGTGCTTTTATCATCTGGATTATATGGCAGTGTAGAAGAACCCCAAGCAGTCTTGTTTTCCATGGTTTGTTAATAGCCCAGCAACACTGCTCCAGATGTTTTGGAAGCCCTTACTACGCTGCCATATAATCCTAATTGTCAAAGCAGATCATCCATATTATTTGCTTTGAACTGAATTATATGAGTCTACACTACCATATAATCCAGATTATCAAAGCAAATGATCTGGATTTTATATAGTAGTGTAGAAGGGGCCCTAATGACAGCATCTTCCATCCCCTGTTTGAGGCTAAGTTCTTACTAAGATGCACCATACCTCTGTCTGACCCTCATCGCTTCCAGCTGCAAGTAAAACTTTTGCATGAGAAAATGGGTGGCATATCTATTGCAGCCAGATAGAAGTATTTGCACAATCTAAACAGTCTTGTTTTGCCGTGTTTGTCATAGCTTAGCAACACTGCTCCAAGGAAGAAGCTGCCTCCAGATGTTTTGGAGACCCCTTCTACACTGCTATATAATCCAGATTTCCAAAGCAGATAATCGACATTATCTGCTTTGAACTGGATTATGAGAGTCCACATTGTTTATAATCCAGTTCCGGTTTTATACGGCAGTGTAGAAGGGGGCGGACTTCAGTATTCTCTCACCATTAGGCTGTTAGCCGAGGCCAATGGGAATTGTGGTCCAAAACATCTGGGAAACACCAAGTTAGAGGAAGATGATGTGGATCGCCCTGGTTTTGTGCAGAAACGCCACCTATCCGAACTTTGGAGGGCAAGAGGGAATTATTTTGTGGGACAAAGGGATACATAAGGGCTACTTGTTTGTTTTTACTGTTTTGAAAAATAAGCTTTTTGAATCGATCTGAATTAATTGATGACTTTGTGTAGATTACGTGTGCTTTTGG